AAACTCAAGTCAGCTGCTGTACATTGAGGCCGTTCAGTTCTCTTTGTTCATTTTTTTTTTTTGTTGGTACTGGGATTTAAACTCAGGACTTCTCTCTCTCTCTCCCTCGCCTTCTCTTTCTCTCCCTTTCTCTTCTTCTCCCCTTTTTTCTCTCTCTCCCTCTCCCTCCCTTTCTGTCCCTCTCTCTCTCCCTCCTTTTCTCTCCCTTCCCCCTCTATCTCCCTCTTTCCTCCTCTCTCCCTCTTCCTTTCTCTCTCTCCTCTCTCTCCCTCTTTCCTCTCTCTCTCTTTCTCTTCCTCTCTCTCTCTGAATGTAGTTTCAGTTGACACATTTTGCCACCTGCTGCAGTACATAGAAAACTTAGTGGGGGTTGAAAAAAAAACTGCTTATTTTGGGGTCAAGCAGCAACACAGTTAAATAAAAATATCCGAGGACACTGTGCACACATTTCTTTATTCCTTGTTATTGGCAATTTGAAAATCATTGCAGGCTACAAAAACCAGCATGACCTGTGAGCTGAGGCCATAACTCAGTGGTTGAGCACATACGTAGCTTTTATGAGGTTCTGGGTTCAAGTCCCACCAAAAAATATCAGCTTTGTCTGAAGTGAAAGAGGGAAATGCCACTGAATGTAGTTAATGTATGCACATTGAAGATTTTTAAGAACTCATACTCATTGCTTAAAATTACATCTTGGATGTCAGTTTCTACCTGTTTTATTGAAGAGGTCCTGGGTCCTAATAATAACAGCTGACGTTCACTGAGCACTTAGTAGCTGTCCGGCAGGTGCTCAGTGCTTTGTGTGTCGTAACTGAATATCCCAATAGCTCTGGAATGTGCATCCTTGCTTTCAGGATGAGGAAACTGAGGCACAGAGAGGTTAAACCAGCTCAAGGTGGTCAAGAGCACAGGTGGCAGAGCTGGGATTTGAGCCAGGCCATGTCAGACTCTTAAGTTCTTGCCCTTCCCCACTCTTTAGCCATGGATTTGTAGTTTTTGCCCAAGCCCGTAAAAAAGGCTAGTGTTTTCACTTCACAGTTGAAACCATTAGGAAATCCTTACTCGTTATGATCAAATGTTACTGCCCAAAGCAGGGTAGCATGATCGTATAAAACCATTCTCTCAGAAAGAACTTAAAATATCAACTGAAAACCTGAATTTGGAAAGCAAAAGAATGAAAAGTATAGGCCTGCCTCAGGGAAGTGTCCAGAAAATGTCACGGATTATGGGATGGGTCACCTTGTCTGTGCCAGACAGTGGCCAAAGACCAGTGGTTGTCATTTTGCAAAGTTTCTTCTTGGTCTCATCAGAAAGACACTTGGTTCTCTTTTGTTCTAAGCAGCTGCATTGAGTAGCAAACAATTCGAGAGGAAATGCAAATAAATGGTCCAAGGGAAGACCAGGCTCACTGGAGGGGCTCCAGAACAACACATTTAAGAAACAATGATGACATTTTTTTTAATCCATTAGCTCGGCAAAATTAAAAAAGATCGGCAAAATCCAAAAGCAGACAAGATCATGAGGAAGTCCTTGCTCCCAGGAGTGTGAATTGCCACAAGCTTTGGGCAAAGTCTTCTGCCTGTATTTCGTTTTCTCTCTCTCTTTTAATTTGTCATGCTGGGAATTGAACTCAGGATGGTACTCGTATTAGGCAAGCATTCTACCACTGAGCTACACCCCCAGCCCGTGCTGTATTTATTAATAATATGTACATTTATTAACAATAAAAAAGCAGTCTTATTTGGGGGACTTATTCTACAGAAATAAAAGTGTCAGTGCGTATGGATCTATGGATAATATGGTCCCTTTATTTAGAGTAGGGAAAACACTGGAAACCACCTGATTGTTCAGAACTAGGAAAATAATTGGATAAGTTACGGCCCAGGTGTTCTACGAAACATTACACAAGTAAAACAATGAGTTAGATGTAGATATATAGGCCTAGAGGTATACTTGTGACAAGTGGTTAAGAGAAAAAAGCAGATTACAGAATAATATATGTGACACGATCCCATTTTTACAAAAAATATCAAAAAGTCCCTTAGAAATGTGCCTTTAAGTTGTGTTGGTTGGTGTGCGATGGAGAGAGTATGACACAAGGTGTCAGCTTTGTTATCTCACTAGGGAAAAGAGATTAGCATTCTTTTTTGGGGGAATAATTCCATGTTGCCAGACTTGGCCAGAGCTGGCATTCTGTACTTCTGTTACTTTCAATAAAGTAAATCAAGTAAAATCATGTTTTATTTTGTTTTTTCAGTACTGGGGCTTGATCTCAGGGCCTACACCTTGAGCCACTCCAGCAGCCCTTGTTTGTATAGGGTTTTTCGAGATAGAGGCTCATAAACTATTTGCCCAGACTGGCTTCAAACCACAATCCTCCTGGTCTCTGCCTCCTGAGTAGCTGGGATTACAGATGAGAGCCACTGGTGCCTGGTGAAATACTTATGTTGAAGGGAAAAAAAAGAAATCTCCACGTCATGTGACTGGGTGAGACTTTCCCTTGTGTGAGGATGGGGCAAGTGACTTGTGATTGCTGTAATTTATTGATCACTGCCTTTGGAGCCAGGTACTGTGCTAAGAAATTTTTCCCAGTTATCACTCTGGGAGGTGAAAGCACAGGAAGGCGTGCAGGTCACAGGGGTTAAACGATCCGCTCCAGACTGCACAGCTAAGGCACAACGGAGCGGGGATCAGAAAGAACCCAGGTGTGACTTACTCGGAAGTGATAGTCTTAACTCCTACAAAACGGTCCCGCCCTGCAGCTGTGGCAGCTTCCTGTGGTCTTTCTGATGGATCGCTCCTTCTCTGCTCATACTTTTGCTTCCATTTTTTCTCTGCCGTTACATTTGGTAACCATGAAAGGGAAGTAACCTGTCATTCTCAGAATAAAACCTGAGACTTTTGTTTCTCGCCTGGGCAGCAGGCATTCTTCTAAATGGGGAAGTAGCCAGGCGCTGGTGGCTCACGCCTGTAATTCTAGCTACTCAGGAGGCAGAGACCAGGAGGATCACGGTTCCTCAAGACCCTATCTCAAAGATACGCATCACAAAATAAAAAATAAATAAATAAAGGGGGCCAGTGAAGTGGCCCTGAGTTCAGGCCCCAGAACCACACGTGCACAAAATAAAATAAAATAAAATATTGAATGGGGAAACTGAATCTTGGGGATACTTAGGAGGTGCCTCCCATGCAGGGAAACTTGTTACTTCTCCTTAGGCCGTTGACGGCTTTTGTGTTGTGTTAATCTTGTCTCCTGAGGTTTTCCATCAACTTCCTTCTCTATTGAGTAAGAACTTTGTGGATCTGTGTCACTCATCTGAACTGTGTGCAGCCAGGTGAAGGAGCTCTTGCTAGAAATGTCCTGCAGGGTCACCCAGGCTGTCATTTTTCACACATGAGCAAGCTGAGGCTCAGAGAGGTTGAGTGACTCATCCAAGACCATAAGCTGCTCAGCAGCACATCTGAGACCAGAACCCAATTCCCCTGGTTCTCATCAGGTACTCCTGTTGTCACAACAGTCACTTCTGGGGTTTGAACTCAGGACCTCACCCTTGCTAGGCAGGTGCTCTATTTCTTGACCACTCTGCCCATCAGGTGTACCTTTACAGAAATTCATGACATTGACTTAAGGTCAGTGGACCAGAAATTAGACTCTGTTTTTGACAGGTCAGGAAGTACAGCTCAGAGTTAAACTCTACTGATCAGGACAACACAACCAGGTATGGCAAAGCCAGCTGTAGCATCTTTCCACTCAGCCTCCTGAGCTCAGCTTTGGGCTCGAGTCAGTCCTGGGCTTGAGCCACTCAGTAAGTGTGCAGCTTGGAGATGCAAAAAATTGCCTTATTACAGTCTAAGGCTATTAACAGCATCTAAGTTTCCCAGGATTACGTGACATAACGCCAGCCCGTGGTAACACATGCACCTTGCTGCTGTTGTGTTTTCCTGTAGCGCTCTTTGTAGTAGTTCCACAACTCAGTTCCTAAGTGTAAGGCTTCTCTGTTCTGTTACACTCCATCTCCCCACTGATCTCTACTTTTCTTAAGTGGAAGAAGTTTTCTCCTCCCCATCTTTTATAGGGATGGATGGCTGGGAGAGAGCCTCCTGTCAGCACTCAGCACTTTTTCTGAACTCCCAGGAAAGGGTGATTGTTGAATGAATGAATGAATGGAGTCACAGCGAGGGTCTTGTTCCCCCCACAGCCTTGTTAGCCCTGTGCCTGGCAGTTTTAAGACATTCTGGCACATTAGCAAGAGCTCAGGAACCATTTATGCAATGAGTGCATGAGTGACTGCGTACACGAACTAGGGAGTACAGGGCTCAAAACGCATTTCTGTATTAAGTGCATAGCGCTTGGTACACAGTAAGCGCTCTCTTGGGGGCAGCCCTATAAATCCTAGCCCAGGATCTTGGCTCCGCTATGCACAGGTTCGAATCCCACGACCTGGGGCAAGTGACTTAATCTCTTTGTGCTTCAGTTTTCCCTCCCTTAAAGGGCGGACGACGGCGGGAGGCTCTGATAAGACACTCAGACATGCTGCCTGGCCCACAGCGAGTCCCACCGACCCGGCCGGTCCGGGCGGCCAAGGAGCAGCACAGCCAGGGGCCTGAGGCCGCCGCGGACGAGCGTGCCGGGGACGCGCGGCCTGCCCCCGACATCGGTGCCCACGAGGGGGCGGGGCGCCCACGCGGGACAACCCAAGCCGGCAGCCCGGAGCCAGCAGCCGGCCGCCAGCCGGGGCCCGCACTTCTTTCTCTCCCTCGCACCTCCCTCCCTCTTCCCGGCCCGAGGATCCGGCCGCGCTCGGCTCAGCAGCGCCTCCCGCGAAACACCGCCACCGCGGCCGCCGCTCCCGGCCCCTCCCCCTCCCGCTCTCCTCCTCACACCGCCCCCCCCCCGCGCGGCCGGCGCCCGTCACGTGACGCAGCGCTAGCCAATGGCGGGCCGAGCCGCGGTCGGCGGCCGCCATTGCTGTCAGAGCGAGCGAGCCCGGGGAGGGAGGAGAAGCGAGGTTGACTGGGGAGGAGGGGGGGGTGGGGGAGGAAGAGGAAGGAGGGGACGTCGCTCGGCTGCCGGGGTCGCCCGCTGGCTTCGTCCGCACCCCCCCCTTCGCGAGTTCGCGCTCCACGGCGGCGGCGGCGGCGGCGGCTCCGAGGAGGCGGCGGCGGCGGCGGCGACTCCGGGGCTCGCCTCCCCTTACGCGCCAGCGGGGGCCGAGGGGGGGAGTCGGTGGCTTGGAGATAAACAAGGCGGCGGCAGCGGCGGCGGCGGCTAAGGAACAGGGGGAAGGCGGAGGCGGCGGCCGGCCCGCAGCGCCAGCCCGGGAGGCAGTGGCGGCGGCCCTGAGAGGCGGGGAGGGCGCCGGGCCGCGCGGACAGCGCCCCCCGCCGCCGCCGCCGGAGCCGCCGCAGCAGCAGCAGCCGTCGCCGTCGCCGCCCGAGCAGGAAGGAGCCGCGCGGCCCACCGCGGACCTCCCCCGGCCCCGGCCCCGGCCCGCTGTCCCCGGCGCGGCGTCGCCGTCGCCGCCGCGGCGCCTCCCGCCCGCCAGCCGCCGGCGGCCCTCGCGCCCTCCTCCGGCGGCGGCAGCGGCAGCGGCACGGCCGCCCCGCGCTCCCCGGCGAGGCGCCGCCGCCGCCGCCGCCGCCCGGCCCGGCCTCGCCTCGGACGCCTCGCTCCGACATGCCCCGCTTTGGCGGCCGGGCTCGCGGAGGATCATGACTGCGGCAGCGAACTGGGTGGCGAACGGGGCGAGCCTGGAGGATTGTCACTCCAACCTCTTCTCGCTGGTGAGTACCGGGCGGCGGCGCGGGGGCCGGGCCGGGCCGGGGTGGGTTCGGGGGTGGGGTGGGGGGGTGGGTGTGGGGGGATCCCCGATTGCCGCCGCCGCCGCCGACCAACTTTCTCCTCCCGCCGCCGGGACTTTGCCCCTCCCTCGCTCTCCCCGCCGTCCGCCTTCTCGCCGCGTCTCCCCCCGGTTTTGGATCTTCTCGCTCTCGCCTTGGATCCCATCCAGTGTTTATTTGGCTCTTTAAAAATCATTTGTGAGCGCGGCGCTCGGCGTGGAATTTGCATGTGGAAGTCTCAAAGCCGCGGATTCTGGGTCGCACTTCGAACGCCCACCCTCTGTTGCAATCACACCCCTCTTCCCCTCCCCTTTCTCCCTCCACCCCACCCCCGATCTTTTTTTTTTTTTTTTCCCTTTCCCCTAAATGTGCAAAGGCTTTGCCTTGTGCTGCCCGCGCCTGCGATCGGCAAGCAGTCTCGTTTGTCCCCCCTTGTCGGGTCGCCCGCTCGCCCGCCTGCCTTTTTGAATTTTTTTTTGAAATTCTGTAATGGCACCTGCGATTTCGCCCGAAAGCAGTTGATTGAATGCGATGGTGTCGCGACCGGGCAGCCCGGAGCCGACGCCAGGTGGAGGAAGCGGCTCTTCTCCCCGGCTCCCGAGCCTTTTCACAACTGTCCCGGTCCCGACCAGGACTCCGCGCGACACAAAAGCCACTCGCCGGGCGGCCTGACAGCGTCGCGGTTGTCTGCCCTCGCCCACAAGCGACAACTTTTGCTCGGGATTTGCGTCGCCGGCCCCAATCTCGGAGCGGTTTACAGTGTCAGTTCTTTCTCGTGGAAAAGCCTGGCACCCGAAGACGCCGTCCAGATTCACCGAAATTAAAAATGGATAAGGCTCTCCAGCAACTCTTTTCTTTTTTTCTTTTTTCCTGGCGGCGGCAGTGACATTTGGTGGTAAATGGCATCTTTGCGTTTTATTGGGTCGTGTTCCCTAGCTCTGGAAACACTCGCGTTGTTAAAGCTGGCGTGTAGGCTAATAATTGCAGCGCGTGGTCTTTAAATCCGTGCTTTGTGCATGAGTTACTGCATGTATAGCTATGTGCCCGGGAGAGCACGAATTTGTTTAAATATTGAGCAAAGATTTGTAAACAGATGTAAGGCAATTATGTTTCAAGCGTAGAGTATAATTGGAAAATTGGCTGAACGGTTTATTTAATTTAGCCTTAAAAAAACTGAACTTATTTTAAGTTGTATACCCAATTTTTTTTGGGGGGGGGCGTGGGGGACGCTGCCTTTCGGAGAGCATGCATTTTGGAAATTATTTTCTGTGACCCCTGCTGTAGATAGAAGCCTTATTCCTCTTAATCCTTGTTTACACTGGATAAATAATTTAGTGTTCAGATTGTAATTAGTTACATTTAATTATGGGTGGCATAGATGCTTTTTTTCTTTGAGACTAGTGAAGAAACACAAGTTCTTGCCAGCTTTTCAAGTGGAAGTGTTATTTTATTAAATGTTAACGGTATTCATGCAGATAAAAAAGTCAATCAATGATTTTTATCTACAAAAACTGAGTGACAATATCATTGCTTCCCCTGTAGTAACAGGAACCTAATTTTTTTATTCAGCATTTTAGCCCAGATATTTAATCTGTGTAAATAATTCATTTGTAAGTTGTGGTTCTTTCTCTTGACCTTTTAATATGTGAGAGTAAAACTCCTTTTGCCTCTTCTTTTTTAGTCATGTAGTCATTTAGTGTTAGGTTTAGGGACTTGCATAGATGAGCAAGTGTATTGATGAAGGGGATTTAAAATGGTTTTTGTTTGGCAGCTGGTGACCACATTGACACTTTTACAGGTAATTAAAATAACCAAGTACTCCCGCGTTAGTGAAGAGAGAGCTCCCAAATTACCATCTATCATGCTGACTAGGAATGGTTTGTATGTGGCTAATTTATGTGCAGTAAATTTTGTAGATAACTGAAAGTGTACTGTATGCGTGGCCAGTCTTTAGGAAGTAAGGATGGTAATGTTACAAAGTGCTTCAGATTCTTTTAGAAACAGTTTTGTAGGAGACGCTGTGCTTTGACTTTGACCAACTAAAGGTTTGCATTTTGAATATTTCTCTCCAAAACCTCTTTAAGCCAAGAAGTTGATTTTTGAATATACTCTGAAAATATAAGTTGCTCTTTAGGTAGCATCTTTGAAATACAGAACCTCAGAAACAGTAAGGTGTATCTTTTTTTTTTTTTTTTTTTAAACTGTAGAATGCTTATATTTCCTTGAACATGGAGGGTGGGTATGTGTTAGTTTTTTAATTTTAGTTATTTGTTTTTTAATTTGAATCAGTTAAACTGACTCCAGATTGAGAAATTGTTTCCTGAAAATCGTATATAGCAGCAACATAGAATATTAAAAATATGTTGTCTAAAGTATCACATAGAATAGTTAAGATCCAAAGAAAATAGTTTCAAAATAAAGTATGTTTTATAAGAAGAACTATGAATATATATATATTGAATATATAATATATTCAATGATAGCATGATGTAAGATATATTTTTATTGGCCTGTAGTTTTTTGTTTGGTTTTGGTTTTGAGCAGAGAAGAGTCTTGTTTCCAGAGAATTCACCTAGATACTCATATTAGTGTGGTTTGAAGTACAAGCCAGAGATTAAAGTCTTGTGTCGCATCAGTGACCTGCCTGCTTTCTGTCGCCTTGAGGTGGTCACTATGGTTTAACAGAAGCTGATTGTGCAGTCAGATGCCTTCAGACTTGATAGTCTTTTACTTTGTTTTCTGGTTTCCTACTGCGCGGTATCAAATTTCCTAATTCTGTTTTAACCTGTACCTCCCTTTCTTAACATTCTGTGTATATGATGAGGGCCATTGTGTGCGTTTCTTATTCCCCTGCTGTAAGATTTGTAGCCCCTGCGTTAGATCCATGCTTGGATGCCTTTGTGGCTCAAAAGTCTTCTCTCCTGCTGTCCATTGCGTTCTGATGACTCCTGATAAATGTCCACTCAGCAATTCATGTAAGTGTGGTGAATCTGCCTTTTTGGAAAGTGTTAACAGTGCACCTCATGGTAGTGAACTTACTTCTTGTGGGAAGACACCTAATTTCCAGATGTTAAGTGTATTTTTGTTTTTGTTTTCTATTGAGATAACATAATAAGCAGAAAGTGATTTTGTGCTCTTCAGCTAGATTTAAGCATGCACTGTGACTTGAGGACCCATCTCTAATTGTAGACATGCGTGTTTATTTGCTTAGAATCCTCCTGACTGTGGATGAATGGCTGATTATTTCAAGTTCTCCTGCATTAGAGCACATGTGCACACATCACTACTTAGTTCTTAGGAAGGAACGTAATTTTAGATTTGAAGCTTTTAATGTAATCTGTTGATCTAATTTTTTTTTTTGTCTTGAAGAGATTTTTTTTTTTTTTTCCCCAGAAAGGGAAGGTAGTTATAAGTGTAAGAACTTCGAGAGCTGCTCGTTTGAGTTAGAATCAAATGGAGCGGACTAGCCAATGAAAATGAGAAAAAGTGAATGCTTAATCTTTCTAAAAGTGCTAAAGTACCATATGCAGGGTATTTTTATGCCACTTTGCAATTTTAATATTTACACTTAAAAGTTTCTTTTTCATGATGCTTCATTTTCTTTAATGAAAATATTTACAATTTGCTAATGTTTGTTTTCTGTTTAGCATTTGTTAAGTGGCACATGGTGTTTCAGTATTTATATATTTTTAATAGCAATAATTGCCACCCAGTAATAGTTGCCACATTAACCTCCAATTGCCAGTAAATATTTTTAAGTACATAATAGACAGCAATTTAAGGCATAGAGTAGCAGTTTACTGGACCGTTTTAAAGAGCTATTTGTACGTGTGATGAGTTCATAATTTTAAAGAGAAAATAAGGTACCCAAGCCCTGCACACTGCAGATATGCCCTGTCAGTGCCTGATGTGCTCATTGGCAAGAAGTTGGGTTGGTCTGTTTCTTTCTGTTTGTGGGTTGTGTTTAGGAGGGAAGTGGTCATTGACCTTATGCCAGATGCTTGCTGTAATAGTTTACCACTTTGGAATGCCCTGGCCACTTTATCATACATGTGTCAGGTATTGTGATGAAACTCTTAAGGCATTCTTTTCAGTAACATTAAGTTATAGTAATGGCTTATATTAATTAGTCATGGAAAACTGATGGATCTTTTTTATTCACTGGCTAATTTAGTCGAGTTAATTGTGAGTTAATTATATTCATCAAACACTTTCAGAGATCTCTACTTTGAGATTAATAAAGAAGATAAAATTGAGATGAAACTATCTCAGTGTAACTAGTAATGAGATGGTTTTTCTGGATTTTTTATGAGTAGTTAATTCAGCTGTCTCAATATTTGATTCAAAGAGACTAGATTTTTTGAAAACTGTGACTGTTTTTGATAAAAGAAAATAATCTTTAAACTAGTAGAAGTACTTGTGTGTATTTTTGTGAAAGAGGATGGTACATTTCTTTAATTGGAACTAGCTGGTGAGTGATTACACAAGCTCATGAAAGCTAGTAATGCTGTTGAATAATAAATGTAATGATTTAGAAACAGCGAAGGGATTCCTGCAGCATTCCTGCAGGCGCCACTTGTTTAAGATGTGCTATATGCAGGTCTGTTTCACAGACTTGTGTGCTGTGTGGTTCACCAGAACTTCTGTCTCACTATTTTATGATCATTTGTATTTTTAGGAAATTACACTTCATGCATTGCAAAGTGAGTTAATTAGATAAGCTAAAATGTGTGTGGGGGGTTTGTTAAAAGACAAAAAACAAACACATTTGTTTCATAGGATTTAGAATTAGTAAATCAATATTTGCAATGTGTTCTTGGACTTTAGGACTTCCCACCCCCTTGAGTTATTTAACTTCTTATCCTATTCAGATAATTTCCTTTTATAGTATATGCTTTCATTATTTATTTGAAAGATTTGAAGGTGTTAGCTTTGTTCTTCTG